ACGCGCGGCGGGGGCTTCGGGCGGGTAGGGCGCGGTCCGAGGTGGTCTGAATTAATTCGCGGGTCCTGCGAGGGCTAGGGTGGGTGTGGGGCTGATGGTAGCAAGACTGGAAGGAGGAGACGTAATAGCGACGGATGAAGTCGTGAGCTGAGGCTGAGGCAGTGGCACTGCGCGGGGACAGACTGGTCTTTGTGGCGATGAACAGGAAAAATCAGGAGGGCTTGGAGAGAAGCAGTGCACAGTCACTGCCCTAAGGGGCGTGTGTGTTGGGGGCGAGTTGGCAGAGATGGAAGAAATTAGTCGTGTCCTTAGGGCGTAGGAAAGTCTGGGAATATTGTCCTAAGGCCACAGGAAGCTGGAGTGGTCAGCAGGGCTCAAGAAGGCCAAAGCTGGGATGTGCCCACCAGCCTTTCCGGAGGAGGGTGCCGGGGCTCCTCACGGGCCCCCTGTTGGAGGAGTGGGGGCCTCGGTGGCCGCGGTGAGGGGCGCGGGGCGGGCTGCTTCCGTCTGTCCGGGAGGAAGACTCCCAGGGATGGGGTGAAGGGCAGGGAAGCTGGGGCGCAGCGGCAGCGGGGGCGACACTGGCTTAGGCACGATGTGAGATGGTGGGGCGCTGAGGAGGTGCCCACTGGAGGTCACTCAGAGCTTCCCAGAGCCTTAGGAACTAGATGTCACCAGTCTGGGGATCCGTGAGTCCAGGCCCTCCCCACTTCATGAACTCTGATTTCATAGGAGCGCACCGCTTAGCGGCTTCTCAAGACCACTTAAGCTGAGACCTAAAGACTTTGAGCCCTCCTGTATCTAAAGATACTTATTCAACCTCCCAATTTGTTAATATTTTGACTTGTATGGATTTCTGGGTTGAAGATAATTCCTCCCCAGCACTTTGAGGGCCTTCGCTCTCCCCACATTTCCGCCAGCCCTTACCCTGCTCCTGTCCTCAGGCTCAGGCACCTGAAACCTGCCTGAGGGCTTTCAGACCATAACGGCCCTTTGGGATCACTTCTAGGATCCTGACTCCCTATGCCCCCACCTGCAGATTTTTGATGGAGTCTTTAGGGTTTTCTGTGTTCAATATCATGTCATCTGCAAATAAGGACAGTTTTACTTCCTCCTTTCCAATTTGGATGCCTTTTATGTTTTCTTCCTGTTTGATGGCTGTGGCTAGGACTTCTAGTACTATGTTGAATAAGAGAGTGAAAGCGAACAACCCTGTCTTGATCCTTTTAAGGGAAATGGTTTTAGTTTTTGCCCGTTGAGTATAGTATGACATTGGCTGTAGGTTTGTCATATATGGCCTTTATTATGTTGAGGTATGATCCCTCTATTCATACTTTGCTGAGAGTTTTTATTAAAAATGGGTGCTGGATTTTGTTGGATGCTTTTTCTGTGTCGATAGGATCATATGATTTTTTCCCTTTATTTTGCTTATGTGATGTATCACATTTATTGATTTGGGGATATACCAGCCTTGAATCCCTGGAATAAATCCCACTTGGTCGTGGTGTATGATCTTTTTAATGTATTGCTGGATCTGGTTTGCTAGTATTTTAGTGAGGATTTTAGCATCTATGTTCATCAGGGATATTGGCCTGTAATTTTCTTTCTTTGTAGTGTCTTTATCTGGTTTTGGGATTAGGATGATGCTGGCCTCATAAGAGTTTGGGAGATTTCCCTCCTCTTGAATTTTCTGGAATAGTTTGAATAGAATAGTTGTTAATTCTTCTTTGAATGTTTGGTAAAACTCGCCTATAAATCCATCTGGTCCAGGACTTTTGTTTGCTGGGAGTTTTTTGATTACTGCTTCAATTTCATTAGTTGTTATTGGCCTATTCAGGTTTTCTCCCTGTTCCCGATTCAGATTTGGAAGGTTGTATGCTTCTAGGAATTTGTCCATTTCACCCATGTTGTCCAGTCTGTTGGCATGTAGTTGCTCATAGTATTTTCTTACAATCTTTTTTATTTCTATTGGGTCGGTTGTTATATCTCCTTTTTTCATTTCTGATTTTATTTATTGGGTCCTCTCTCTGTTTCTTGGTGAGTCTGCCTACAGGTGCATCAATCTTATTTATCTTTTCAAATAACCAGCTCTTGGCTTCATTGATATTTTTGTATTGTTTTTTAGTCTCAGTGTCATTAATTTCTGCTCTGATCTTTATTATTTCCTTCCTTCTACTTCCTTGGCACCTTTCTTGCTGCTCTTGTTCTAGTTCTTTTAGTTGTTTTGTTAGATGGTTCATTAGACCTCTTTCTTGTTTCTTGAGGTAGGCCTGCAGTGCTATGAACTTTCCTCTCAGGACTGCTTTTGCCGTATCCCATAGATTTTGGGTTGTTGTCTGTTCATTTTTGTTTTTTTCCATGNTTACTTTCCATGAAGTGTTTGATTTCTTCCTTGATCTCATTGGTAACCCATTCATTGTTTAATAACATGCTATTTAGCCTCCATGTGTTTGAATATTTTTGAGTTTTTTTTATAGTGCTTTATTTCTAGTTATGGCATTGTGATCCAAGAAGATGTTTGATATTATTTCAGTCTTCTTGAATTTGTAGAGATTTGCCTTGTCCCCTAACATGTGGTCTATTTTTGAGAATGTTCCATNAATCTGTAGAGACTTGCCTTGTGCCCTAACATGTGGTCTATTTTTGAGAATGTTCCATGTGCACTTGAGAAGAATGTGTTTTCTGCTGCTTTGGGATGAAATGTTCTGTAAATGTCAATTAAATCCATTAGATCTAGTGTGTCATTTAAGGTCTGTGTTTCTTTGTTGATTTTTTGTCTTGATGATCTGTCCAATGCTGACAATGGGGTGTTAAAGTCCCCCAATATGATTGTGTTGCTGTCGATCTCCCCCTTAAATTCCACCAGGAGAATTTTTATATATTTAGGTGCTCCTATATTGGGTGCATAAATGTTTATAAGGGTTATTTCATCCTGTTGGATTGATCCCTTTAGTATTATGTAGTGACCTTCTTTGTCTCTTGTTATGGTCTTTATTTTGAAGTCTATTTTGTCAGAAATGAGTATTGCTTCTCCAGCTTTTTGTTTGTTTGTTTCCATTTGCATGGGATATTTTACTCCATCCCTTCACTTTTAGCCTGTGTGAGTCTTTTGTTCAGAGGTGGGTCTCTTGTAGACAGCATGTATTTGGGTCCTGTTTTCTTATCCGTTCAGCTACCCTATGTCTTTTGCTTGGAGCATTTATTCCTTTTACATTTAATGTTACTATTGATATCAACTTATTTAATGCCATTTTTCCCCTTTATGGTGATGTACCTTTCTCTCACTATTCCTTCTTTTTCTTAGAGCAGTCCTTTTAGCATTTCTCCCATTGCTGGTTTCGTGGTACTGAACTCCTTTAGCCTTTTTTTGTCTGGGAAGCTCTTTATTTCACCTCAATTTTAAATGAAAAGATTCTGAAAGAAGGGCAAGCAAAAAATTAAGGGTAGAGCATAGGAATAGGGAAATAGGTGAAAAATAAAAATAAAATGAGAAAAACAGAAACAAGCAAGCAAACAGACAAAAAGACAGGAAGACAGAATATAGGGGAGACAAAGAAAAGAAGAAAAAAATGTTATGCCAGTGGAACAAGAAGAGAGAGTGAGGTAAAGCAAGGGCAGGGAGGGAGTCTAACAGGAGATATGGGGAAACAATAGAGAGAGCAGGAAACTTATTGGTTATAATGATAATATCCCAGCAGTTAAGCAGAGAATATCAAGAAAATCTTGATAATAAAACAAAACAAAGGAAAAAAAGGCAAAGCAAAACTTTAATTAAAAAATTTTTAAAAAATTAAAAAAAGTTTTTTTCTTTTCTCTCTTTATTCTAAAAAAAAAGTCAGCCAGGTGAGTTTTGTGTGGGCAGCTTATGTTGTCTGAGGGTCACTGATTTCAGTTCTCCTGGGAGGTGCTGTGTATCAGCCAGTGTCAGGAGCCGGCTAGGTTTGACTCTGGTGTCCTTAGGTAGCTGGTTGGTCTGAGGCTCTGTGGACCACCTCCTCTTGTCAGCTATTTTGCCTCCCCCTTGTGGTTGTTGGGTCTTACTCCAGAGTCTTCTGAGGAATCTTTCGGGTGGAGGCCGGCTAGTGTAGCTTGGGATGTCGCTCCTCTTAGAGGTTTTGCTGTCAGGCACT